ACACCCACATTTTGCGTGTACGTGAAAGAAGCTCCAACAGAGAGGAAACAAAATGATTGGCCTTTTTTTAATGCATCCTTTTCTTTTGCTGAAAACATACATAAACGTTACACGCTATTGTACATTCAGTGGTGCGGCTTAATTTAGGAAGAGGACCTTTTCTCATATAACTTTTATATAAAGAAAAATCTCAATATAATGGGTCGGGCATAAATGGTTGCTATGAACTGCCCTATACATTTACACATTACCTGATATTACCAAAAGAGTAGAGTAGGGTGCGGCTGCACTGCACCAATTACGACTTTGTAACCAATTAATAGTTGGCATTTATTTGTTTATTACTATTGACTATTATTCTTTGACAGAAAGAATAACCGGGCGAGTTGGTGCGGTGGTAGTCTTTGAACGCCATCAAATATTCAGGTTTAACATTAGTTAATTTTTTCCGCCTTTTTTCATGTTTTTGCTTTTTCTAGCTGCTCTGATTTTTGTAAGGGCTTTCGCCACTACTAAAAAACGTGACATCTAAACCCCTTTAAATATTTGCATCACACAATCGTAAACTTAAAAAGTGTGCCGGTTCGGTAAACGCGAAGAGACCTAATTTCCGAGGGTGAAACCTCTAAAAACAACGGACAAGTAAAAGAAACAAACAACACAGGGCGTTGTTTGTCTGTTGTTTTCAGCGCTTTTACCCTCGGAAATATGACGAAGAGACCGCGCGTCTCAACGCACAGGCATTAGCATATGCAAAAAATCATGCTGCACGCTCGCTCTTCTAACGTTTTTCTCGCTCCCGCTTTATGAAACAAATCGGTGGCGAGCGGCTGTTAGGACAAGACGTCAGAACTAGCGTGACCTGTGATTAACACTTTGGGACGGCGACTGAATGCTTGAACTGCCGTCAGACGGCACTTGAACGCTCCGCACAAGCGTCGTCGGACGAGCGCCGCACGACGGCGCCCAGAACATGCCCACGGTTCCGCCGCGCGGGAATCCTTCTCACACTGCGGAGCGAGCCACAGATTTTGAAGAAGATACGCTCTTTTCAAATAACGAAATAACACAGGGCAGAAGCATAGTTAGAATCAAGCATAGCTTAGCAAGCGCACGGTACACGACAAAGTTTGAAACAGCAGCCCACTTCGCAGAAACAAAAGAAAGTTGCTAACCGGCGTTTGCACGAGTCGTGCATGGGCGGTTCTGAACTTACGGGCGTTGGCAAGAGGCAGCGTCTCTCAGCTCTCAGTCACCGATTGTTATTCTTGAACACGGTATTCGTAAGGAAGATATTTAAAATATCCACTAAAACGGCTAAAACGTAAAAAAAAGGAAATTTCCAAAGCCTCTGGAACTTCAAAAATCATTCAACCGAGCCCAACGGAAGCTGATTGCGATAGCGATGGTCTTGCGCAGCCTTTAAGAGTCTCTTTTCCTCTTTATTTATTGTTAATTTTTTTAGAACGATACTAAGCAAAATATTATTATATTAGTTACAATAAGAATGTCACTAAAATAATAATGTAAAATATTACAAAAAGTGAGTAAATCTTAGGTTTTATTTAAACTTCAGGTTGTTTCTTTTTTTGTGTAAACCGAAACCGAAACTAACTTAAGCAACGTTTCTTTCGTCGTAATTGTTTGCGTGTGTGTGCGTGTGTATGTGTGTGTGTGTGTGTGGGAGTGTGTGTGTGTGTGTGTGTGTGCATGCCCGTGCGTGTGTTGGTGCGCGCGCGTGTGGATACGTCCCCGTGCATGCGCGTGTGCGTTTCTGGTTGTGCGTGCGTGTGCCTCTGCGCGCGGGCGTGGGATTGCGCGTGTGCATGCGTGTGTACGTGCGTGCGGGCGTGTATGTGTGCGACTGCGAGCGCGCAAGCGTCTGTTTGTGCGTTCTTTTGCACTGCGCCCGCAAGAAATACAATTGGATGTCCCTGGACACTGTTAAAGCACTAACTTATTGATTATTATTATTATTATTATTATTGTTGTTGTTATTGAAACATAGCCCTGAGACTTTAGACACAAGGCCCTAAACTTTTCTATAGCTGGCTGTAGCTGTATCTATAAATTTTTAAAGGAGCTGTGCAACGATATTCAATTGGAATGTTTTTCTCTCTACACTAGCTTACTGGCACACCTCGGACTCAAGGATACTCACACGCAACACCATTGGCCAAGAAACTCCTTTGTTGTGGTGTAATTTCAAGGACAAAAGCGATCATTTTCATTCAATCTCTCCTTTGCAAAATTTGATGACGTAACTCGGGGATCCCAGTACACCCAAGTGACGATATTTGAATGCGGTTCATAGATTGGACCCGAGCATTGCGTGGGCACTCGACTTGGGCTCGTGACAATTGCTAGCTCGAGAAGCATTCGGGTTGTGACCCGTGTCCAATCGCTGCAACGACGACAACAGCCGAGCCATAACAATGTCTGGAACTCAGCGCGTGTCCTGCGCTTTGCCAACCCCTGCGCGTGGCTATGATCAACACTGGCGGCATATAATCGGCTCCAGATCACGTGGCCGCTTGTTCTGGCTGCGAGTTGAGGGGGTGAACGCCGCTCGTTTTTCTTAAATTTTTTTCTGGGACTTCTATTGCGTGGGGTGAAAAACGAACGCGTGTTTCATAGGTCATTAACGTTAGGGATCCGATTTAAGCGGTATTTGTGCACAGTACAAAAATTGTTGCATCGCTCCTTTAAGGCCGACCATGCAAAGCTATAGGGGGTGATAGCCTCCCATAGAATTTCCCATAGACGACCATAGGCCATTTTTTATGGGATGTCTCGGACTGGTTTATTATGGGATTTGCCTCTTTATGTGTGTGAGTTTTTGTGCATGTTACAATATTCTCAAATGAATATTTTACTGGGGTTGCCATGGTCATGGGACAGGTTCTAGCAGCATGTCATGAATATTTGTCAAACATTTTCACAATATTTTGATTTCATGTTGCCAGATATAAACTCGAGACTAACTGATTTTCTTACTGTATACTTCCATCAATAAATATTTGTAAAAAATGCTAGTATAGAGCATTTCACCCTACTTTTCAATTTCTGAGCATGGAGTGATTTGTAAGAAAATTAAATATAAACTCATATATAAAATTTTGTTTGCAAACATAAAACTTGTATGCAAAAGAGGCACTTTATTTTCAGCTATTTGCATGAATTACAACTGACATTATAAGAAACTAGACTGCTAACAACTGTTGCTTTTCAAGCAGGAATCTTACCTGTACATTATGTACAGAGCCATGTATAAGCTTTTCAAAACCATTTCACATTATTTATTTAGCACCCTCCTCTACACCCTTCTCACATCCTTCACTAAATGTCGGGTGTAACACGAAACAGCAAATTTTCGGTAAAATATGAGGTTGTATTCCTAGTTTTTAGGGTGTTACAAGGGTGTAGCCGAGGGTGTAAGTTGCTACAACACCCCTGTTACACCCTTAAAGGTGTAAAAACTTTTACTGTGTAGTACGGCCGAGCATCACTGGCGTCAATCACCACGATAGCGTCGATAGCGTCACGGCGTTGCCTACCACCCGCCAACAACCACGTTGTTAACAACAAAACCAGCGTCCTGCCCATCTAGGTCGAGATGTTCATTTTCTTTTTCTTTTACGTGTGGTTCGATTTTGAACGTTTCCGTTGTGGTTTTAACCGAAGCTGTTAGCTTTCCTTGGATTAGAAAATCAGTATCATAGCACCTAATTAAAACATTACTGAGACTAGCTTAAGTTTAATCAATATATGAGGGACGTCTTGTTTAGGCTCTTCCAAAACACAAAGCCTGAAATATCCAATCTTATCCGATTCAAGCACAAGCTGATCGGGGTACGTGGCTAGCGTGGCGGTTTACTAAGCTGAGTGCATTGATACATCTATAGGTTTTTAAGGTAGAGAAGGGGGCTTATGGTCGGTATACAGGTACACTGGCTGGGTAACGGAGGGTGCGTCTTCCAGGAAAGGGGAGCTTGTGCGCCCGATGCACCCGACTACAACTTTTTTTTTTCTTCGAGTGCAGTTGGGAAGTGTATATGTGGAGCGCTAACCGAAAAATCGCGGATGTGGTATTCGCGCTAAGAGTGCCGCGCAGCGACAGAGCGGTATTGTTAGCGCGAAGATGACGTCAGCGCTGCTTTCGTATTTTATTTTCATAGAACAACGACGGGCACAATATTTTCCCACTTCTAGTAATGTTCCAAATGAACATATCGCACGACAGTGATAGTTAAGACAATAGCCTTTCAAGTCTAACGAAAAAAAACTGAATAAAACGATGATCGTTTGGTTGCGCTAACAGTGTTCGCGCGATGCACGCACTAATATCCTGCCAACCACTCGCTCATGATGCTCCTCTCGCTGCCCGTCGTTATGCCAAAGTTTCGTCAACGCGATGAAAGTTTAGATATGGGTGCCCCTGCGGCGAAACTGAAAATCAGCACTTTTGGCCGAACACTTGTCGACCATGTTTATGTCCACTGCGGCCAAGCTGAGAATCAGCACTTCTGGCCAAACACTCGCCGGCCGTGTTTATGTTTCCGGCGGCCAAGCTGAAAATCAGCACTGCTGGCCAAACACTTGCCGGCCGTGTTTATGTCTCCGGCGGCCAAGCTGAAAATCAGCACTGCTGGCCAAACACTTGCCGGCCGTGTTTATGCCTCCGGCGGCCAAGCTGAAAATGAGCACCTGTGGCTAAACACTTGCCGGGCGTGTTTATGTCCCCGGCGGCCAAGCTAAAAATCACCACTGCTGGCCAAACATTTGCCGGCCGTGTTTATGTCTCCGGCGGCCAAGCTGAAAATGAGCACTTTTGGCCAGGCGCTTGCCGGCAGCGTTTATGTCTCCGGCGGACAAGCTAAAAACAACTAGTTTGTGGCCGGACCCTTGCCGGCCTTGTTTATGCCTCCGGTGGCCAAGCACTTAAAGTGGCCAAGCTGTCCAGACACTGGCCAACCGTCGGCCGATCGAAATTCACTTACTGGTGCTGCTTGGGATGTCTTCATCTGAGAAAGTAGCGAACATCGGTGACCATTCATCTTCTGATGTCACTCCTGGGCAACGCCCAACGGTAAACCCCATGGAAGACAGCCCTGCTGTCACTCCAAACGCCTCACCCGAATTTTCTAACTTAGAACATTCCGACATGGAGCAGGACAACGACTCTGGAGGACAATGGTGCATCTCTGGAAATCGGAAACGTGTTCGAAGTGATGACTCACTCTCCGATTCTGGCACAGCACGTGTGCCAAACAACGTCTCCAACAGTCTCACCGTCGTATATGCCCCGACTGACTCAGAGAAGAAATTAACTTCCCTTAGCAGTCTCAAGGTCACACAGGCTCTCGAGAAGATAAGTCCAGAATGCATTCTTCAAGTTCGCTACAATCAACGACTCAACCTTATTGCAGTTGACGTCCGAAACGGACATGCAGCACAAGTGCTGATGAACAATACACTACTATGCGGTATCCAAGTTCGACCATACTCTCCGTTGTCAGGCAAAACAAGCGTCGGAGTAATTCACGACGTTGATGCGGATGTCACCGATGAAGAACTGGCACAACACCTACGATCAGAAGCCAAGATTGCCAATGTGCGACGACTTGGAAAATCTCGAGTCGTCGAAGTCGTCTTCAGCGGCAGCCACCTTCCGAGCCATGTCTTACTAGGATATGTGCGACACTCTGTTGTCCCATTCAAAGAGAAGCCCATACAATGCCACAACTGCGGCGGTTTCGGACACAAAAAAATCGCCTGCAAACGCGCCCAAGCTTGCAATCGATGTGCCGAGAACCACGTTCCAACAGCTGAGGGATGCACGTCCAGTTCAGTGAAATGCATAAATTGCAGCGGCAATCATGAGGCTACATCGCACATATGCCCGAAGTGGAAGGAAGCACAGTCTGTAGCTACATATTCAAGAATGAATACCGTAGGGTTTCGTGAAGCAAGATCCGCCATCTTCCGTCAACAAACGACCAGGGACACCACCGAGGGCACCAGAAGAGCAGAGCCAAAATCAGAAGAAACTGGTAAGGACACTTATGCTTCAGCGCTCAAAAGAACTGGCCAAAGCGTTAAAGAAAAGATGAACACCAATCCCACAATCAGTCAGATCTTGACGCAAGGTTCGTCAGAAAAATCTATACATCAGCCATCACCCAACACGGGACCTTTGACACGCCCCTGTGCCAAAAAAAAACCAAGTTGAAAAAGATGACAAAGCTAGCACCCAAGGGACAAGAAAGTGAAGCTCCTGGATGGATATCAATCATAAAGGCGGGTGCTAGTATAGCACTTGCAGTTTTGGCGAAAATTGAAGCCTCCTGGGCGGGTACCCTTGCATCCATTATCCAGACAATGCTTCACCTTCTAGCCGGCTGTCTGTAGGATCACTCAACACAAGTGCGCATCGTTACCAACGAAGAGAAGCCTCTAGCTGTGGAACTTCAAGCGAATTCCAACACTGCGGCACAGCACGGCACAGGCGTAGTCCATTGTTTCCTTCGCTGCTTCAATGGAATGTAAACGGACTACGCACTCGACTTTCTGAACTGCGGCAATTCCTCACAGATAAGAAAATTGATGTCCTGGCTCTTCAGGAAACGAACGTCTTGCCCGGAGAGATACGCTTATCTCCTTACGTGTTATATCATAGAGCGGCTATAAACCCAAATGGAAGATCAAGAGTCTCTATACTTGTGCGAGATGAAGTACATCACTCTGAGCTTGACCTTTCGGACCTCTGTTCACCATCTGAAGAGTATGTTGGAGTGACGATTAGAATGGGAAAGAATGAAACGACAATTGTATCAGCGTACGTCACGCCACAAGGCCAATGGGACACAAAGCCACTTGAAAAAATAAGTAACAGAAGCCGAGGAAACTTAATTATTTGTGGAGACTTCAATGCTCACAATGAAATATGGGGTGGCGCTCGCACGGATACGCGAGGACGTCAGATAGAGACAACGGCAGCAGCGTTTAATCTCCGAGCTCTCAACGACGGATCGGCTACATTCTGCCGACGGCACACAAAGGCGAGCACCCTGGACATAACGCTGGTCTCGGCAGAAATCGACGCTCTCTGGACTGTGGAGCCGGACACGGGCGGAAGTGACCATTTTCCAATCAACGTGATACACCCCAGAGCGGCTCCGAAGACCATCAAGGAGTGCAAGGTGGTTAACTGGGACCTTTTTCGTCAATACTTCACTTCCGCCGCAGATAGTAAAAGCTATACAGACGTCACTACTTGCATTGCGGAGTGTTTGCAACGCGCAACCCGCATTGTTAAGATTCCAGCGACACGTCCTACACCTGACCTTGAGTGGCTTAATCTCCGAGCCGCTCGACGACAAGCCCAGCGAAGGGCACTCCATACGGACGCCTTATGGGATTGGGCTCGATATAACCGCATAGATGCTCGCTTCCGTCGCCACACAAAAAAGCTGCAAAAGTGGCAGTGGAGTAGTGACTGTGCATCGCTGAGTGGCCCTGGGGGAGGAAGACGGGCGTGGGGGCTGGTTCGAGCTCTTAAAGGGGCCAAAATTCCGCGACATCCCATTACAATACTTGCAATCAAGGCAGGTCAAACCATGATTGAAGTGGCGGAGCATCTGGCGGACGAGTTTGCACGGTCCTCTATACTACACAGCCTGTACACCAGCAAACATTGAATGCACTGTCGGACACTGTTAGCGCGAACACGGCGTCGACGCTTTCCAGCATGGGGGATATACGTGCCAAACGAACGTACGACATGTGGAAAACCAAGAGAGACGGCAAAAACTACGCAGTAACACTGGGAAGTAACTCCTTGTGCTTGCAGACGATCAAAATAAGTTGAACGTCACGTAATATAGTCCGATTTGCAATAAATAAGTACCGCGCTTTATTCTTTCTGCTCATGAATATGCGAAGATGCTTGTTCTGTGTTCAAATCATCACACGCACGCTCCAAATCTTTGCAAATAGGGGGAAGCCAGAGGACAGGTGCGCGATAAAAACTGCCCGACATAGGAAATAATAAGAAAACACACCTTTCGTAGCACTTTATTCTTTACGTTTCGAACGTTCTTTATTTTTTTTTTTAACCACTCGTAAAGATGCACGACGGGGTCATTTTTAAATAGTGAGAGGACGGGCATATTAGCAATTTATAAGCACCACCGGAATGCTGGCGAACTTTGAACACACTCTACATTCCTTTCGATCGTTATTTTGCTTAAAATCGTCGCTCGTTTCTACATACCTGCCATGGAACAGAGGTTTGGGCCTGATATATAGCGAAGTTTAGCATCGTTCAGTGGTAAAGGAAAAATGCTGTAACTAAAGCAATTACACTTTCACAATATTAATAAAGGTACATACTACCCGGTACAACCGAAATGACAAAAGTTATTCATGTTATTTTCCGGCGACGAGACAAAATTCACGCGCGTTTTCCCATAGGAATACACAGGAGGACTGGAAAAGTAGACTGCATGCTGTCTGCTTCAATTTGCAACCGGAAGTCCCATAGACGCTAGCGCCAGCTGAGCCTCTAGCGTTTATTGTAATAGCTCAATGACCACACCATAGCAAATGTTGAAGGAATCATCTTTACCTCAAGGTTCAAAATAGAAGGTTCGTGGACCATTTCTTTTTTTTTAGAGCGCAGCTCTTAGAGGCCCGTTTCCGGCTTGAGCGGCGTCGGCGTCGCCGTCGGCGTAACCGCGAGGTCACGTGACCCCCCCCCCCCCCCCGAGGTCGCGTGACCCATCCAGGTCACGTGACCCCCTGAGGTCACGTGACCCCCTGAGGTCACGTGACCCCCTCAGGCCACGTGACCCCTGAGGTCACGTGACCCACTTGAGGTCACGTGACCCACCCAGGCCACGTGACCCCCTTAGGTCACGTGACCCCTCAGGCCACTTAACCCCCTTGAGGTCACGTGACCCCCTCAGGTCACGTGTCCCCCCTCAGGTCACGTGACCCGCTTCAGATCACGTGACCCCCTGAGGTCACGTGACCGCCTTGGGGACACGTGACCCCCCCCCCGAGTTCACGTGACCCCCCTGAAGTCACGCGACCCTCGATGTCACGTGACCCCCCTGACGTCACGCGGGCCCCCTTAGAACACGTGACCTCAAGGAGTCACCTATCCCTCAGTACGCATCCATCTTCCTCCTCAAGAGCTGCGCTCTAACCGGCGTTACAGGGAATTGTAAACGGCATTTTTTTTATTTACAGAAAAAAACAAAAAAAAAACCTGCAGCGCCGAAAACTTTGGCATTATAGCAGGTACAGCCCATGGACTAATACGCGCAATAAAATAAAAAAAAAAAAAAAACATAACACTTGAATATACAACCTGGGCTGTCAATAAGCTCTAATCTTTATGATTGTCATGACTTTTAAATGCATTTAAATATGCCTAGACTGTATAATTGTTACTGTATTTATTTATTTATTCTTATTGTATCCCGAAGGCAGAAGTGTCACAAATAATCAACTTTGGCGTCGGATGCCTCCGTTGTAGACGAGAAATGTATCATTTAGCCAGTAAAGCACGTTTGCTAATCTGGGGTGCAGTGAAACTCGTTAATGAAGTACGATAAAACTGCAGTAAAAAGAGGTTACGATAACAACGCAGGATTGTAAAAAAAAAATAGTTCGATGGATGGATGAATGGATGTTGCTGGCTATACCCTTTGTAACGGGCGGTAGCTTGCGCCACCTAGCCTAGTTCGAGAGATGAGTGTAGGTTTTCCTTTTCCCTTATTTATTGATTTTCCTATTTTTTGTAGGTATGTTTTATTAACGTTTATTATACGACACGAGTGGAGGAAAATAACTCACGCTGCAACCCAGTGGTTATGGGTTATACAGAGTGGATTGAAACGAGTTTCCACACTTTCCAAAAAAAATGGTCTGGAGTGAACTAAGGAAAGTTCTAAAAAAAAAAAAAAAAAAAAAACGCCGATGTCGTTTTTTACGTTAAATACGTCGCACAGCGCTTACACTAGAAATGAGCAAGCAATCCTGTTTGACAGAAGTGAGACACACAGACAAAGAGCTGCGAAAGTCATATCCAGTGGTGCAGTTACTGACTCTGCAGGTGCAAGATAGGCATTAGTGGGCGCGGAAGACGCATCTCGTTCAAACTATCTTTCAACAATTGAACAACATAGGTAGAATAGAAAAGGCGACTCCAATTGCTTGCGGTAGTATCTTTTTTTCACCCTTTTGTTTCGTTCTTTGTTTTCGGGAACGGCGCTGTCATTGCACAACCACGGTCAACGGCCAAGTTGACAGGTCCCTTCCGGCTCAAGTGAACCTGCCACGCGCGCTCTTTCGTCACTCGACGGTTGCAGTTGGGCCGTCCCCTTCGGTCCGCTTGCTGCCCATTTACGGTATAGCTGGCCCTGTTTCAAAAAGCAGGCTGCGCGTGTGGACTTTCCACGTCAAGTCCTACAACGACGCAGGTTCTTGTATCGGCGAGCGAACCGCTGTGCAGGACAGAGGAGTAAAAGCATCATGACTAGGGGTGTCGCGAACCGGCCGCGGTTCGAGTTCGACCAGGCTCGACTTCTTCGAACGTTTAGTGGAAAGTTCGACGAACCTTGTATTG